TATTTATTTTTTAGTTCTCGGCGGACACAACATCTTTGTTGGTATGTGGTGCTGAGGATCGAACCCGGGCCGCACGCATGCCAGGCGAGCGCGCTACCGCTGAGCCACATCTCCAGCCCCACTGCATCATATTTTAAAACTGACATTTTTTTTTCTTCTCCTTAACTTTGAGGGAAGGAAAATTACATTTTTTCCCATTATAGGCCAAGTTGTCTATCCTTGGACACACACACTACAAGAATAAAATAATTCAGACTTCAGTAATGTCAAAAGATCTAAAAAATGGCTATTTCTCAAAACTACAAATAAATTTATGACCCTGGATAGGGCACAATTGGAATGTAGCCATTGAATCACCTCTTTAAGGACACATTGTTCCCTTGGTAGTTAGTGTCACCCATGTTTCTCCTTTGCTAACAAAAAGACCAAAACTTCACAAAGTTGATAAACCCAGTCACAAAAATATGATCATATACATATTATTAAATAAACTATGATATATTCACATTATTAAATAAAATGATTGTATTCATATTATGACTATATTCATATATTATTATTATCAGCAAAAATTGACTAATTGTCTTTATTAAAGACAAACTTTATTTGACTATGTTCAGTTGAGTATTTTAAAGAGATTTTTAACCATCAATTTWAAAAAAAAACCAAAACTTTCCTTTTTACTCAAAACCTTGTCTTCATYATTGGACTGATATTAGGGACAAAGCAAAGACTGAGTTTTCCAAAACATTATCTATCAAGATAATTTCTTGTGTCTATTAGGTTTAAAATCAAGTGTGCTTTTATTCTTGCTAATTTCACTTTGTAACTACTATCTGTTAGTATTTTGCAAAAGTACTACTTCTAACCAGAATAACCTGAATTAAGACAATAAGGCATCACCTCCAGGACAGATAGGATATCTGACTTGCAGTACTGATACAAACCCCAATTAAATAGGAAAAGTAATTGTAAAATTAGAAACCTTAAAGTTAAAACCCATTACTCCCATTTCAAGAATGGTGAAACTGGCCTGCTGGATGTTTAAAACCAAAACTTGGAGACCGAAGTCAAAGAAGTTAAAAAGTCTAAAGAAAAYGCAATCAATATTTTGGCCCATGCCCTCTAGGGTCAACCAGGATCCAAGGAATGATGGGAACCCTTTAAAGCCCCTTAACTCCAGTGAGTCACCCAACATTCAAATCAGGAGGATTGTGAGAACCCTAGAGAACAGGAAGTCAACCAGTGCACATTCTGTAAAGAGGGTCATTGGAGAGGGAAATGTCCCAATGCTTCTAAGGGAAGCCATATGTGGTCAGCAAGACTCTGACTCATCCTGGCAGATGGCATGACCAGTAGGAGAAAGCTAAAGGAGTGCTGGAGATATAGCTCAGTTGGTAGAGTGCTTGCCTTGCATGCACAAGGCCTGGGTTCAATCCTTAGCACCACCACCACACATACACAAAAAAACTAAAGGAGCCAAGGTCTGAAGAGTGATCCCTGATAAATCTTTGCTGACTCTTAGCAGGAGATAGAAAAACAAAGTCAATTTTGACCAACTTGGTCTTAAACACCTGGCAGGAAAGTATGACCAAAGCACAGTGTTTAAAAAAAGGCAATGGCGGGGCTGGGATGTGGCTCAAGCGGTAGCGCGCTCGCCTGGCATGCGTGCGGCCTGGGTTCGATCCTCAGCACCACATACAAACAAAGATGTTGTGTCCGCCGATAACTAAAAAATAAATATTAAAAAAAAATTCTCTCTCTCTCTCTCTCTCTTAAAAAAAAAAAAAGGCAATGGCTCTTTTAAATGCAACTTGAGATGTGTACTTGTGTCAGTCCTCCCAAAAGTAMATGAAACTGGAAGGCTATAATGAAGGTGTTTTTATACAGGAGTACCTGACACTGCCAGAGTCCCAAGTTTGTTCTGAATCAAATGATTTGAGACTTACAAATCTTCCTAACCTCCTACATAGGTAAGCTCCATTTGTTTTTCACTGATATGATTAACTAGCCCTGATATTTTGACCTGATTGGTCTAAAAGATGAATGTGACAAGTCAAAGTCCTAACTTTACCAACAGCATTCTAAGTGACACAGCTAAAGGGATCCTTCTACTAACACAAAAATAATGCCAATAAAAAAGCTCAGCCTAGACCCTTCCTCTTCTTGGGACGGCCGCGCTCCGCGGCTTCCCGGGCTGGGCTGCTGCTGTCACCGCTATTGGGCCGGCGCAGTACGCGCCTCTCCACCCGGTACTCCSGCTGGCCGACGCGCGGCGACGCCTGCAGCAGGAACTCGCCGCGGCTGTGGGTGACGCGCACGTCGGTGCGCGGGTACGTGCCGTACACTCGCCGCAGCTCCCGGCACACGAAGTCGGGCAGCTGCAGGCCGTGGCCGTGCGTGCGTTCCACGCGGCCCCATCGCAGTTCGGCTTGCACATTGCCACCTTCGGGCCAGGGCGCCCAGCTCTCGGCTGCGGATTCCTGCAGCGACGGCCCCAGGAGGCGAGCGTCAGGGACCGGCGAGCTAAGGGCGGCGGCGTGGGCTGCTGGGAAGGCCCACCAGGGTGGAGTGGCGGCCGGAGATACGCTGGGGCCGTAAAAACGGTGGTATTCTCGCGGGGCCGCCCTCTCTCCCACGCACAAGCTCGCTGGCCGGCTGCAGAAGTTGTGGGCCTGGATGGGAGGCAGCAGCAGAGGGGCGGGCAAGTAGGTGTAGGTGAGGGGCTGCAGCGGAGGCCAGGCACTCTCCCCGCGCGGCAGGCAGACGTAAGAGTACATGGTGTGAACCTCAGGCAGCAGGCCTTTTCACTGGGGCTCCATTCTGGTTCAGACCTGTGGCGGGGCGGTGTTTGGATATAGACTTAATTCTTACTGTCACCCGGAACCCAGGGCTCTCCTTTCTGACAGGAGCCTCACTTGCCTACCTCAAGGCTTTGGAGGATCGCCCTAAATCAGGTGTTGAATTCTCCTCCTCCTCCCATCTTGTCCCAGGTTTGGGCCTGAACCCCAGGCTTTCAGCAGGCCTTAAGGACCCTAGACTTTTTTAAGCCCTCAAACCCTGGCGTGCCCTTTCAATAACTTCACACTCACTTGTCTCCTTCACCCAGGGGAGGTTAGTCTCCAGCATTTGGGGTAGCCAGAGGGTTCCAGCAGGAGGCTTCCTTCCACCACTTGTTAGTTGCAACTGCTCCCCGCCATACCCTGCCTCACTCAGCCACACCTCCCTGTTACCAGGCAAAGGGAAACACCTTGAACTGGCCAGGAGCCTGCCAGCCTGTCTATACCTGGGTGAGCGTAGGGTCACAGTGGCTCCAAGCTGGAAGCAATGGCCTGAGCTCAGGGATGCCCACCTACAATATCACTGAAGGCTTCTTTTGTTTTGATCAAGTTTGCTCCCCCTCCAAAAAAAAAAAAAAAAAGTTTGCTCCCCATCCCCTAGCCCCTCCAGTGGATTGGATTCTCCTAACATCTGAGTGAAGCTCCTGCACACTCGGACCTTCCTACATTGAATTTTGCTTGTGAGCATCTGACTTCAAGTTGATATCAACTCTAGGAAGGTGCACTTAACATAGCAAGGAATTATAAATACACAATAAAAGTGTTGACCAGGACTTATAAAGGTTAAATGACTTGCCCAGACTCATTTATGGTAAAGGCAAAATTCTACCCTACATCTGTCTCAAGACTCATGCTCACAATATTAGTCTTTCTTTTTTTTTTTTTTTTTTTTGTACTGAGTATTGAACCCAGGGGCACTTTACCACTGAGCTATGTCCCAGCCCTTTTTATTTTTTAGTTTGAGATGAGATCTCACTAAGTTGCTGAGGGTCTTGCTAAGTTGCTGAGGCCGGCTTCTGTAGGAAGCCATCCATGAAATACATGAGGATCTTCTCTGGCATGAAGCCAGGGAGATTTAGATTTGGCCTTGGGAACCATCTGTCACTCTCCCACAGCAATAGATTGCCCAATGCACGTGACCTTTATCTCTGGTCTGCTAGGAAGATCCCCCATAGTAGCTCTGGAGATGGGCRTAACCCTTTGGGAACTGGACAGCCCACCTTTAACCTTTTTTGATGAAGAACATTCTATGGAAGACCTTTGATATTTCCCAATATAAATAAAGCAGGCACAGGCTCCATTTTGCCATAGTATAGAAGCTCCATCCACTTGCCCGTCCTCCCGCACCCCTCGCACCCCAATTTTGAAACTATTTTCTGTGTCCTTTGTTTTTTTTCCATTCTATATTTTTTCTAGCTTTTATTTCTCAGCCAGCCTTTTCCACCAAGGGGAACCCCATTTCCATGGCCCTTGTGGGATGTGGGCGAGAGGCTTCAAACATACCATCCTCCTACCTCAGCCTCCCAGAATCAAATGAGATCAGGCATGTAACACTGTGTCCAATCCCTGCTGGAACTGCTTTCAGACTATCTCACAATCCCTCTCACTCTAGAATGTTACACAAGCACTTGTAATTCTTCATAGCCATGTGAAGAATAGATTGACATTCTCATTTAATAGCTAAGGAACCCTGCATGGTTGCGCACATCTATAATCTCAGAGGCTCAGGAGGTTGAGACAGGAGGATTGTAAGTTCAAAGCCAGCTTCAGCAACAGTGGGACACTAAGCAACTCAGTGAGACCCTGTCTCTAAATAAAATACAAAATAGGGCTGGGGATGTGGCTTAATGGTTGAGTGCCCCTGAGTTCAAAACCTTTCAATACCTGGTATCAAAAAAAAAAAAAAAAAAAAAAAAAAGCTAAGGATCCAGAGGCTCAGAGGAGGCTACTTTCCCAGGATCACACAGATTAAAAGCAGCACAGTGAAAATTGAACTCAGCCCAACTGATGCCAAAGCCTACAGGCCACTTGGATGAAGCCAGAAAGATTGCTTCCGATGGCATGAGTACTGTGAGCTCCAGTCCCCTGTGATAGTGGGTTCACCTATTTTTCTGGTGGGGTGAGTGGTCATTATGAATGATTAAAACTGAATGATTAAAAGCTGCTATGCTATCACTTTCTCCCCACTTTTCTATTGACTTAAGCAGCATAACCAGCTTGAGTACCCTTCAAAACCCAGCCACTCCCTGGGAAGATCTCCCACAGTCACCCTGGCAATGTTACATTAGTCCTAACTAAGCTCCTCTCCCAAGTCTAATTTTGGCCAGTGGCCTAGTGAAGACAGCTGCTGAGGTCAGTATCTGAATAGAGAGAAGGGACTTGACTAGGGTTTCATTTGGAATCTACCTAATACTCCCTACCCCACAGCTTCAAGACAGAGCCTTGCTCTCTGTCCACTCTAAGGACTCATCCTAGTGAGACAGTGGTCCTTTTGGGTGAAGCCTTCTGTGGTAGGTAGAATAATGCCTGTCCCCCAAAGATGTCACTAATTTCATCCCTGGAAACCTATGAATTCGGCAAGGGGGAGTTAAGGTTGCAGATGATGTTAGGGTTGTGAGTTAGCTCACCTAAGAAGATTATCCTGGATTATCTAATGGTCCCAGTGTAATTACAGGGGCCCTTAAATGTGAAAGAGGGAGGCTAAAGAGTCAGAGTGACGACATGTGAGAAAGACTTGACCAGTCATTGCTGGCTTTGAAGATGGAATGGGCTCATGAGCAAGGAATACAGGCAGCCTCCTGAAACTGGAAAGGGTAGGAAAATAGATCCACCCAGACAGACTCAAGAAAGGAATACATTGGGCTGGGGATGTGGCTCAAGCGGTAGCGCGCCCGCCTGGCATGCGTGCGGCCCGGGTTCGGTCCTCAGCACCACATACCAACAAAGGTGTTGTGTCCGCCGAGAGCTAGAGAATAAATATTGGAAATTCTCTCTCTCTCTCTCCTCTCACTCTCTCTTTATTTATTTATTTTTTAAAGAAAGAATTTTTAAATATTTATTTTTTAGTTTTCAGTGGACACAACATCTTTTTTTTTTAAGAGAGAGTGAGAGGAGAGAGAGAGAGAATTTTTAATATTTATTTTCTAGTTCTTGGCGGACACAACATCTTTGTTGGTATGTGGTGCTGAGGAT